ATTGTTCTTACAAAAACCCATGGCTTCGCTTCCAAAGGCCTTTATTAACCCACTGGGGCCGTGTGGAGCAGAGTATGTGAGTGGAGTGGGAGTGGAGCGGTGTGATTTTAAATTGAGTGCGGAGCGGATTTTTTAAAAGTCGGAGCGTCATGGTTTTCACTGGCTCCGAGAGCGCTCCACTACCGCTTCATCACGAGTACAATGCCTGCCTGCCTGCCTACCTGCTTGCTTGCCTGCTGTTTTATTTTGAGTAAATCTTTGAATTGGAGCTTTTTGCCTCAGCCCTTCTTTATCTGCACCACAACCGTGACAGAAGAACCGACAAAACAACGGGACAAGATGGTCATATTCATCACCTCTGCCATTTCCACAAGCGGTCTTCTGACCTGTTTCCAGGACGGCCATTGCGTAGAGGAATATGTCGCCGAGTTCCTGGAGCTCTCGGGTGGGGTAAGCTGGGCAGATGACGTCCAAAAGACTGTGTTTTGGTTTGGGTTGGACGATCATCTGCACCAGCAAGCTCCAGCAGCAGCGATCCCAGGGACGTTCGCTCATTATCTGGACTACGTGCTTTTGTTGAGCGGCTCAGCCTACACTGTGGGTGAGGCTGATTTTAACATCACCGCTCAACCACTGTCACCAGCATCCGTCACCACCCGTCCTGAGCCTTCACCGCTGGTCCCGTCTAGCCCAGCCGAGCCTTCACCGCTGGTCCCGTCCAGCCCAGCCGAGCCTTCACCGCCGGTCCCGTCCAGCCCAGCCGAGCCTTCACCGCTGGTCCCGGCCAGCCCAGCCGAGCCTTCACCGCTGGTCCCGTCCAGCCCAGCTGAGCCTTCACCGCTGGTCCCGTCCAGCCCAGCCGAGCCTTCACCGCCGGTCCAGCCCAGCCGAGCCTTCACCGCTGGTCCCGGCCAGCCCAGCCGAGCCTTCACCGCTGGTCCCGTCCAGCCCAGCTGAGCCTTCACCGCTGGTCCCGTCCAGCCCAGCCGAGCCTTCACCGCCGGTCCAGCCCAGCCGAGCCTTCACCGCTGGTTCCGTCCAGCCCAGCTGAGCCTTCACCGCTGGTCCCGTCCAGCCCAGCTGAGCCTTCACCGCTGGTCCCGTCCAGCCCAGCCGAGCCTTCACCGCCGGTCCAGCCCAGCCGAGCCTTCACCGCTGGTCCCGGCCAGCCCAGCCGAGCCTTCACCGCTGGTCCCGTCCAGCCCAGCTGAGCCTTCACCGCTGGTCCCGTCCAGCCCAGCCGAGCCTTCACCGCCGGTCCAGCCCAGCCGAGCCTTCACCGCTGGTTCCGTCCAGCCAGAGTTTCACGTCAGCCACGTCCTGCCTGCCTGCCAGCACCTGTTTGTTTTATTTTGAGTAAATCTTTGAATTGGAGCTTTTTGCCTCAGCCCTTCTTTATCTGCACCACAACTGTGACAATTATTGTGTCTTTAGTGTCCAACAAGCCTGTCTACACCAGCTTGAGACTGTCTACAAAGCGAGCATCGCAAAACAATTGTCCCTCATGTCAGAATTAGTACGTACTTTTGAGTACGTCAGAAATAAAAGCAGCACTCCAGTTTTATCAAAGGTTTTGAGTGAGATTACATCTGTTAGGAGAGGCGCCACTCGATTGGCCCCTCACTATTCTCTCAAAAGCAGTTAAATTTACCCGTTGTTCATAATTGACCAGCACAAATAGAAATTGAAATAAATTGTGAAGAGGGACACGTAGGTGAATGCTCAACAGACTGCTTTGCAGTGAAATTCCTCTAGCCGTAAGTTCTCTGTCTGCCCTTGCTGAAGAAGAGGATTACGTGCCTGTATACTCACCTGACTGCTTTGCAGTGAAGCTCTCCAGCCGTAAGTTCTCTGTCTGTAATCTATAGAAGGAAGAGGATTACGTGCCTGTATATTCACCTGTTTGTTCGTAGCGAAACTCCCCCGCCGCAAGCTCTGTCTGCCGGCCCTTCGAGAGGATTATGTGCCTGCATGCCCACCTGACTGCTTGGCAGCGAAGCCCTCCAGCCATAAGTTCTCTGTCTGTCACCTGTAAAGAAGAGGATTACGTGCCTGTATATTCACCTGTCCGCTTTGCAGTGAAGCTCTCCAGCCGTGAGTGCTCTGTCCGTCACCTGTGAAGAAGAGGATTACGTGCCTGTATATTCACTTGTCTGCTTTGCAGTGAAGCCCTACAGCCATAAGTTCTCTGTCTGTCCCCTGAAGAAGAAGAGGATTACGTGCCTGTATATTCATCTGTCCGCTTTGCAGTGAAGCTCTCCAGCCGTGAGTGCTCTGTCCGTCACCTGTGAAGAAGAGGATTACGTGCCTGTATATTCATCTGTCCGCTTTGCAGTGAAGCCCTCCAGCCGGGAGTTCTCTGTCCGTCACCTGTGGAAGGAGAGGATTACGTGCCTGTACACTTACCTGACTGCGCTGCAGCGAAACTCCCCAGCCGTATGTCCTCTGTCTACTTCTCACCGTGAGGAAGAGGAGTACATACCCGAAACACGCACCTGGATTGTCCTGTAGCAGCTCCCCCCCCCCCCCCCCCCCTTTTACATTGCGCCCTGTGGGCCTTCGGCGGGTCGGCCGAACGGAACGACCCTGCACAGAAGACTCACCATTTTAATTTCTTTAACCAATTTTATATTCAATAAAATACCGTTTTACTTGAAGTCTCGTTGTCTGTCCTCCTTGCCTGGCCTCTGTCCGACTCTCCAAGGGTGGTACGGGTCCCAGGGGTGGGTGCAATCTGATTTGGCCCGCCCCGACCTGTGACATTCGGTCAAGAGCCAAACTGTTTCTAGTTTTGTTCAAACCCACCATGGAGAACTCTCTCTGCTGACCCTTTGGTGCCCAGAATCAAATAATACTCTTTTGCTTTTTCCCTGACATCTTTAAAACAAACAAATGCAATGATTAATGTATGCATTGCCAGTGTAAAACATTACTGAAATGATAGCCAGAGCGCTCTGCTTTCAGAGATGTAGTCTTAACATAACTGGAAAGAGCATTAATACAGTAGAATTTTGAAATAAAAGAATGAAATGCATCTCTAGGCCTTTCCTTAGTTTCAGGCAGCCAAAGCTAAGCTAAAGCTTCTGGTTGCAAAGCAGTTGGAGAGTTTTTGCATGCATCAATAATAATTTAGCATGAATTTGGCTATATTTCTCCATATAGAAATTTATTGGTTTTGTATTGTCATTACATGTCTTGTTTCGCTTTGTCTTGTTTTAATGTTGTACCACTTTAAGTTTACTGTTTATTTTTTTTTATTTTTTTTTTATAAAAAAGATTTTTAGAATGTAAAAGTGAATTGTATGTTAAATCATATGCTTTAATAAAAAGACGTTTGATAAAAAGCATGAAGGGGTTTCACATTAGACATGGATGAACTCGGCAGAGAACTTCCCTCCATATGCCTGCGCCCCGTTAATATCTTATATAGCGGGATAGGTTATCCTTTACTTCTCAGCGTGAGAAACACAGTGAACTGGTGGAAATATGTGTGTCTCACGGTGAATGCATGAGACTTGAGAGCCCTGTAAAAGGGGCATCAGTTTACTGACTACATTCAATCTGTGATCAGTTGTGATTTAAAATAAATAAATAAATTACATGGACAGCTTGCAAAGTTAAGTTCTTTTTTATTTTAGTGAAGAGGAGGGGGTTGAAAACCTGAATAGGTTCCAGTATTGTCTGGGAACTTCTCTCTGATACGGGTAACAGCACCACCGGACAACTGTTACTGTCCTATTGAGGACTGTGTCTTCCATGTCACCCAAGAGCTGGAGATATGTCCCATAAACAGCTTTCAAAACAACTGGGTTTAGAGCGACAGGTTCAAACCCTGGATGAGCAGTTTTACACGCGGCCCCACCAACATGCTCACATCTGTGTGTCACTTACATGTCTGGAGGTCAGATTAATAATAACAACAACAAAATGTGTACAAGAACTTGGGTATAGTGGATAAAATGATAGTGGCTCTATAAACAATGAAATACATTTGGTTTATTAATATGTATATAATGTATAATATATATAGTATTATTATTATTTTTTATAGAGACGTGCCTAAACACCTTCATTTGGTAAAACACATTGTTTTTACAATGATTAGATACTGAAATGCAATACAGTGAAAGAGTGTACGCTTCGTTTACCTGTGCCTCCTCTCTACTACATAAGTTTGTTACACACATTTGATCAAACTAGGTTTTGTAGTATGACCAGTAGGAGACCATTGATGTGTAAACTGAATTTGGTGACACTACAGTGTGTAACATTAAAGTTAAGGACTATTTTTGTAGTAGCGCTTTTGGGGTTTTGCACTTTGCAGACGGTCTCATAGAGATCGATTTATATTATAAGACTCGTTCTGAGGAAAATGAGGTTGTAGCTCGTCATCTATGGATTGGAAATAGGCGTCAATTGAGTTTTAACAACGTTTAGCTCACGATTTATTGATCTGGGAAGTTCAGATCTGTGAATAACTTTACTGAACTCCTTGAACTAAGCACTGTCAGTATTTCTTTATACTTAAGTTCAAGTTCAAAATAAAACTCTATGAACCGCTCAATTGTTAACGTACGGAGCTGTCTGAAACACTGACAGGAAGTTTTGAAAAATAAGGTGAGACTCAAGATTTTTAGAAGTAATAATACAGAGTTATGTGGCTCCTCACTTTTGTTGTGCAAAGTGTCAGGGGGAAAATAAAGAGGATTCCCCAGTTGGCAAATGCCACCTTACCATGAAATCTGCCACTGGTTACAGCAATGCCACCCTGACTGAAGATGCCAATGAGAACAATGACATCTGTCAAGCTGCTGTAACAGTGGATATCAATAATGAGGATCATAGTTATGCAGATTCAACTGCTATATGTGCCAAACATGACTGCTTTCAGGAAGATCACAGCAACAACCTCGAACAACAGGAAAAAGCTTAAAAAGGCAATGCCACAAGTCCAGGCGTTTAAAGACAAGTCACAACTCCTTTTTAAAAACTGGTTCTATTAGTTCTGGTTTAACAGGTTTAAGTTCTGAAGAAAACAACTCCACAGTCCTTCATGAAAATACACGTTTAAAGGAATTTCAAAGTAACTTCTGCTCAAGGCAGTTCAAGTTCAGTGGAGGAACGAGCAACACCACATCGTCATTATTCATGGTTAGTAAATACTACTTTATAAAATACTAATAGATATAGATTTAAAAGTGTAATGTATCCATTCACATTGATCTAGACTTAATAAACAGCATTGACACATTGTTTATACAGTTTTTTTGGAGCTGAATTTATTGTTTGAATTTTGTAATGAAATTGACTGAAAGCTGAGACTTTTTCATATCAAAGTAATCTGCTCTGTCTTGTCTGTCAAAATCAGTGTCATTGCTCTGTGATTTTTCACTGTGTGATAATATTGTGTAACGTGAGTAAGTGTGAGAACACTAGGCGCGTTTCAATTACAGATTTGCGCAAAACTTTTGTAATTTCTTCTAAATGTCGACAAAAAAAAAAATTTCCTCTCGTGATAATCCTTCCAAAAATCATGGCGATGATGTTGGTCGGTTTACGTATATCCCAGCCACTGCACTTGCCATTATTATTAATGGAAGAAGACGTATGTGTGTTATCCAAGCATTACTGGCAAGGAAAGACCCTTATACTTGGAGCGGCTGGTGTTTCTCTGTGTTTCTCCCTCATTTTCTGCTTTGAGATCTTGATTCTGGCATTTCTTTGAGGTTTAGAATCCAGTATTCCTGTAATTCCTTTGTCTTTTTATAATTTAATAAAGAACTCGGTCTCGTATTCTGTCCTAACACACCGCATCATCTACGCCAGGTGACTGTAAATGCCCAAAAACTGTTTCCATCGCAGGTTTGCTAAATATTTATTTTTCGAATTGCTTGAAAAAACAACTAATGCGAGTGTAAAAACTTTTTTGCGATGAATGGGAGTTTGCGCAAAATTGACGTGTTTCCATTGGCCGTATTTTTCAATTCGTAATTTCAATTTGCGGTAAAAGAAACTCGGCTAGTGTCAATAGCGTGAGTCTTGCACTGAATGTCTGAGAGTTGGCAGCCCTGGCACAAGTCTAGACCTGCAATTAAACTTTTCTCCCCAAATCATAGAAGCGAACAACATGAGATCTCTCATGTATTATTATGTTAAGACATAGCAGATAAAAACAATTTACTGGAGAGGTGGTCTTCATTCATCAATACACAAAGGTTGGGCATTTATAGATATATGCATGCTAATAAAAATGTTATAGCCATGAACAAAGGCTTTTATTTTTTCTAAATTCCCGAGTGCCTTGGCCTTATATGATTTTTGCAAGTTGAACTTTCCTGCAAAAAAAAGGGCAGCGAGGTACTGACTTTTATACTCCATTTTGCATGTGATGACCGCTTTTGTCACGTGAATTCGGTAAAAAAAGGCTTTGTTAGGTCACAACTGTTTCCAAATGTTTGAAATTTCAATGGTTTTCTGTTGGGGGCCGATCCCAGTAAACCAGTGTTTATGGTTATTACCTGATCTTGGATCAGTTTTATAGTTTTGTAGAGATTTTAATGATTTTTGGTGATGGACAGCCCTGCCATTCAACAATCTAAACTATGTTTCCTGTACAACAACATTACTCGCTGCTTAAAGTGTGTATGTCAGGTTACATTTTTTTTTTAGATCTAAATAAGGGTTAGATGTCTAAGTGAAAATGTAATTATCATTAAAATTATTACTGTAATTGCCCTACAGTAAGCTTTATAGCCATTTCTCCCATCATATTTTTAAAACACAGCTGAGCTGTGACGTCAGAAGAGGGAGACGTGCCAGAAAAGTTCTATTCAAGTATGGAGAGTTTTGAGTCTAAGGAGATCCAAAATCCCCCTCAAACCTACGATGGCCCACAGCCATACAATTTTGAGCCTCCCAGGCGTGAGACAGATGAGGAGCCAAACAGAAATTTACCGTATATACCCGAATATAAGATGACCCTGAATATAAGACGCCCCCCCATTTTTTAGCCTATTTTTAGGACAAAAACCTCATCTTATATTCGGGTATATACAGTAAATAATTCCTATCGAAGAAACATAAATATCTGGTGTGAAGAGAACCAGTGGAGAGTTGGGCAGGTGTATATAGGTGTGGCAAGTGGGTGCGGTTGAGACACAAGCTCAAGTTGATTTATTACTAAAGAACTCCGACTACGCCACCCTAGGAGTTAACCCCAGGGAAAAATACTAAACATTGAGTAAAGCACACAGGTTCGGTTCCCTCATAAAGTTAGACAAGAGACGTGAGTACAATAAAAAAATACAAATATTTATTAATGCAAGAATGATTAAAAATGTTGGACACTAAGACCCACATCAAACACTAACAGCCCCACTTCAGATTAAAGAAACACAAACCAATATAACAATGTATATCTGCAAAGCAAAATACCTAAATTATAACAGCAGGGCTGGGGGCTCCCAACGAAGAGGAATCACTGTCGGTTTTACGGGGCACACGTTCACACGCACACACACCCGTGCGGTCTAATTGCACTATCGCACTCAAGTGTACACTGCACACGATAAAGAAGAACCACCACCACAAAAAAGAAGAGCACTCCGGCCATGGGACCCCAGCTCCTGCAGTAGAAAATAAAAACAAAGAAACTATACAAATGAACATAGAAATAGCAATAAAGACATTACCAATAAAGCAAAAAATAAGAAAAAGAAAACCAATAACCTAAAAAGATCAAAGAGCGGGTCTGGAGATTATTACAAAGCAATTTCAACTCGGTAGATGTTCACACACACAAATGAGATGACATTAATGGTCTCAAAATCACATGCATCCAGATAACCACTTCGTTGGTTGTTTTAATTAAAGCAAAGGGAAGGAAAAGAAGTTCAATCAAAGGAGCAAAACAAGAAAATATGAAGCAGGGCACTAAAACGACACAGTAAGAAAATCAAACAAGCAGTCCCCTTGTTAGTGATGATCGCGTCGGCGCGGCTGTATCAACCACAATGCTTTAACAGCGTGAGAGCAGCAACTACAGATCTCGGCAGAGAACGAGAGGGAGAATCCTAAAACGACATAAAAAAAAGGTGTTACCAATCATCGTACTATCACAGTCATGGTTGCGTTTAAACACTTACCATCAGGATATCACGTCAGATAGCACACTTTATAGCCACGGATTGGTCACAGTCATGCCCCATCGATAACACAATGGGATACAGGGAATCACGCCTATTTAGTGCGCAAAAAGAGTGTTAAACCCACACAGCCACACCAGCACTATATAACGAGCGCTTAACAATAAACATACCTGCAAGGCGATCAATAAGCACATCCACCAGACAGCGCGAATGGGCAACAGCACCAACACATAAAGCTGCACTATGATTAACAGAGACGATTCAACGTTATACACACCACAACAATCCCCAGAAACCATCAACTATTACAGCATATTCACCTTATTCCGCCCCGCTCACTTTTAATACTTCGCGCTTCCGCATTTTGTCATCCGACTTCCGCTAAACTGGCACGGCACATCCGGTAGCTAGTTCAATCGATAGAAGATTGTTTTTTAGTTAGACAAAACTTTAGCAAAATGTCAAATAACGTTAATACCGTAAATGTTTTAAATTGGGAGCACGAAAAAAAAAAAGTAGGACGATCAGTTGGTCTCACATTGTCTCATCCATCGTCAATGTTAAAGGGAAACTCCACTTTTTTTGGAAATAGCCTCATTTTACAACTCCCCCAGAGTTAAACTGTTGAGTTTTTACCGTTTTTGAATCCATTCAGCCGATCTCCGGTTCTGGCGGTACCACTTTTAGCGTAGCTTAGCATACATCATTGAAGTGGACAAGACCATTAGCATTTCTAAAAAAAAAATTACCAAAGTGTTTCGATATTTTTCCTATTTAAAACTTGACTCTTCTGTAGTTACATCGTGCACTAAGAGGGATGAATTCTCCTGTACGCCGGAGGAAGTTTGAGTCGGACTGCCACCGGACTAAGGGAGAATTCATCCCGCCTTCCATGTGTCCAAATTAAAACCAGTTTTTCATTCTCATCTTAATCCGCCGGCCCCGGTTCCCCCACCGCCGCGACTCGTAGACGGGGAACCTACATATTCGGTTAACCGTATTCTGGACTCGAGACGGAGGGGACACGGATTCCAGTATCTGGTGGACTGGGAGGGTTACGGTCCGGAGGAGAGAAGTTGGGTTCCTGCCAGGGACATACTGGATCACTCCCTGATTGATGATTACAATCAACAGGTAGGTGCGTCTGGGAGCGCCAGGAGGCGCTCCTAGAGAGAGGGGTACTGTCACGGTTCATGAATTCGCTGTCTCCTTCTCGTCTCATGTTGTGCGTGGGCGGGGTCGCTGATCACCGCGGTTGATTAGCGACCCCGCCCACGCACAACATGAGACGAGAAGGAGACAGCGAATTCATGAACCGTGACAAGGGAATAGACGAACAGAATTTTTCTCCCAACAACGAGGAGTCAGACAAGGTTGCCCATTGAGCCCCACTCTATTTAACATATATATAAACAAACTAGCCAAAGCCTTAATTAATTCCACTGCCCCCGGCCCAACCCTGACACAATCAGAAGTTAAATGTCTCCTCTTTGCAGATGATTTATAGCCTGGCTCCGCCCTCCTACGCACTTCCGCTCAGTTTCATTTTCCTTCCGTACTACGTCTGGGACTGCTGTATATTCTTAGGTTTCCAGAAATCAATTTTTTGTAGGACCAATCAGCGAACAGAGGGAGTGGCTGAGAACGATGACGTTGATGTAGCGCGTCAGTTTGAGTTGGAGTTCAGTAACGGCAGCGGAGAAAGACGTGAGAAAAGCTATTCGGTCCGTTGCTGCAAAACTGCCGAATATACAGAAGTTAAAGCCGGAGCAAGATCAATGTTTGCTAAGTGTTGTTGGTGGCCATGATGTTGTGGCCCTCCTCCCCACGGGGTTCGGGAAAAGTTTAATTTTCCAGCTCACTCCGCTAGTGGTGAATGAGTTAGCTAAGGCGAACGATAGGGATGCAAAGCCGATAGTTGTTGTCATCTCCTCTTGTTGCACTAATGGAGGACCAAGTGAGGGAGGCAGAAAGGTTAGGAGTGATGCTGGGCAGCTCGGCGTG